GACCTTTCATTTTTATTTCTTTTCAGATTGCTTTTTTTCTTGGATGAATTTTAAATGGCTATTTGTGAGGCAAACACTCTTACTCCAAACAAGGATTCATCTGTCTGCTTTTGCAAGCATTAAGTCTACACCAAAAGGGAAACAAAACTAACTCACATTATTCCTGTCTGCATGGAATTTACAATAATGAAAACAAAGCACCTCAGCCATTTGCCATAGGGCGTCTCAAAGGCTTCTGTTTTCATCTTACTAACTAGCTCCTAAAAGGAAAGCAATTCACATTTTCCTTGGAAAAATCTCTGCAGACAGCAGAGTTAGCCAGCAAGAATTGTGACCTCTTCAAAATCTACCCAGTGTTTCAGTAGGGTGTAAAACCTGAATCTGATGGTAGAAAACTGGCTATTGGAGTAACAAACCAGATTAATCTGCTTTTATCATCCACCTCCCTTACTCCACTGTCATCAGTAAGGCTAAACAGATTAACACTGATGGGATCATTTAATTTTGTATGTGTTACGATGAGTGCAGCTGCCTACTTTCTGTACAGCAAACATAAGCATAAATGTACCTATTACGTAAAAACTAGTATTTATTTATACACTAAAGTTTTTTTTCTAGTTGGCAGAACTATTTCCTTCCACACTAAAACTAGAGTCTGATATGGGAATATTATTCTTTCCAGGATAAATTAATAAAATTTGGTGCTCTGCCAAGTAGTGGTTACTCTGCTTTGGACACGTTAGTTAAGATGTGAGAACTGGTAAGTTGCCTTTACTTTGGCCTCCTCCAAGTTAGTATGCAATTCTTCCCAGCAGAGTTAATTAGCTTAGGCATCCAACCAGCAATTTTCACAGCAAACTAACCCAATTATCTCTGCATGATACAACTTTGTGTCATGTCTGAGCCCAGAATATGTCTGTCTACATATGGGAAAAGTTAACCACAAGTTGTGCCATTCAAAATAGCAGTGGGTGCTCTAGGGAGAGGGATAGTTCCCTTCTGCCCTTCATAATATGAATACCTGGACTAATAACCAGATAGTGAGTACCTTGCTATGTGCACAATTTTTTTGCCAAATATCTTTTTTTAAGTCAAAATTATTGTAAGTAAAGAGCATGAGGAGCCCACGGTTCTGACTTTCCAAATGCAGTATAAAGCAAGAGATTTTTTACATCAAGTTCAGTATTATCTAGTAATTTGGTCACAGCTGAGTGCCCTCACTTCCTTGGCAACAGGGCTTAAGCAGAACAGTGCAGGTCTTCTACCTTGCAATGGAAGTGCTGATGAGCTACCACTCCAGAGAGCCTCAAGAGATTAAAGGGAAACCTCTGACAACACACTTTCATCATCCAGGTAGTATTTTTATGACCTGCATTATTATAGTAGTTCAGTTTCTCATTGTACTTATTAAGTTATTCCTGTTGTTCCTAAGAAGTGAGAAGTACATCTCTCCCCATTTTTCAAAGGAAAATGGATTTTCAGGGATGTTTAAAGCCTTGGCCAATGCCAGGCTCAAGAAAACTGTGACAGATTTAGGATCTGAACATATCTTCAGGAGGCTAAGGTGGGCCACTGACCGACTTTCTGCTGTGACAGTTACAGAAGTTGTATTTCTTCAACAAGTGTAACATACAGAGTTGTAAACAAGCACAATATAAAGCATGAAAGGAAAAAAATAATTTTCTGTAAGAAAGTTAGTACACAAAATTATACTGATGCTCTGGGCAGAGCACACAGTTATTACCTATTATATCCTTAGGAAGCACCACTAAATCATCATTTAATTTAGTTGTTCAAACAATTTTTCACACTTGGGTTAAAAATACCCATCACTCCAATGCTAAAAGATGAGGCATTAGGCTGATTCTTTCAATTGTAACTTCAGGTTGAGTGATATCTAATCAGTACATTGAAAAGTTACCTACTTTCACTGTAGCCACTGTTGGCATTTCTCAATCTATTATCTCCTGTTTTCCAGCAAGAAGACAGGACTACATAAGAATCTCACTGCAAACGTCTCTTCCTCAACCTTTATAGAAAAAGAACCTCATCCACATAATCCATGCTACCACAAGGAATGTGGACTCAGTAGCAATCCTAGCAGCATTCCAAAATTCTTTAAACTTGAAGCTAATCCAGAACCAGTAGCAAAACACAGGTACAAATCTTTTCTGACAAAAACAGCTGTTACCATTTTAGAGTACTGCTTGAAGACAACAGAATAATCAAATCATAAAGGTTGGAAAAGACCTCTAAGATCATCAAGCCCAACCATCAACCCAATGCCACCATGCCCACTAAACCATGTCCTGAAGTGCCATGTGTACATGTTTTTTTGAACACCTCCAGGGATGGTGACTCCACCACTTCTCTGGGCAGGCTGTTCCAATGCCTGACCACTCTTTCAGTAAAGAAATTTTTCCTAATATCCAGTCTAAACCTCCTCTGGCACAACTTCAGGCCATTTTCTCTTGTCCTAATGTACAGTTCCAAGTACAGACTGGCTTTGCATCAAAGACCCCTGAAGAAATACAGTCAGTAGTCCAACCTCCTGTGTTTCTTTTCCTACTAAACACTTAGCCACTTGCACTTGCATGGATTTGCCCTCTAGACTTCCATCAGCACTGTCACTGCTAAAGTAAATGACAGCACAATTATCTCAGCACATTTCAAAGCCATGTAGCTGAGAAGCATGTCCCTCTCTGACTGCACTTTTGCTTTCTTCACTAGTTATACCCACAGTCGTTATCATGCCAGCTTTGCACTGACCAGTGACAAACTTTTGTCTTTTGGTCTCTTGGAAACTCAATTCCCTTGTAAAATTTGAAATTGGACACTACATGACACATTCAGCAGAAAATCATTTAGGTTGCATGACTTCTGGCTGCTGCTCTTCCATACAGAACTTAGGATGAAAGGAGAGGTACCAGCATGGACACCTGCTGGCTGTATAGTGCTACAGAACCACACACATTTCTGTAAGAAATCACAACAGTGAATTTGTCTTTAGTAGCTGCCCTCAGAGTGACCACATGATGTTAGTTTCTACTTCCCATACCTCTTACAGAGCCAGTTGTGAGATATCCACTTGCACTTAGAATAACCTCAGCTCTGGACACGAACTGGGATACCCTGGGGTGAAATGTAATATCCTACATTGTATATGACAGCATAGTCCTTAATTTGTTAGAGACACCAATGAATGATAACACCAGGGGAAATATTTGAAAAGATGAGATGTAGCCTCTGAGAGCCAGTCACACCTTTGGCATGACCCCTTGGAGTAATTTTTACATGGCTAGCAGTTTCCTTACAGTGCACAGCCTATGTTCCCATTCTTGCATATGCATATATTACAAGACATAGATAAGCATATACGTAATGGAAACAGGATCTTGTTCTGCTCACTGTTCCTAAAGAATCATTTGCACTAAGGGTGATACCAAACTCCCAATTTTGGACTGACATTATAAAAATGCCAAACCTAATGGTGAACCAATCTGTGCAGAAGACTTTCATCTTCCAAGTAATTTTTTTGTTCTCAGTTACACCCCCCCCCACCCAGCTTTTTTTTTTTTTTTTTTTTTTCCTACCGGAAAAAAAAATTTGAATGGATTTAACTTCCTTAAAACACAATTTCTATAACCTCAAGGACATTATAAAAATGCCAAACCTAATGGTGAACCAATCTGTGCAGAAGACTTTCATCTTCCAAGTAATTTTTTTGTTCTCAGTTACACCCCCCCCCCACCCAGCTTTTTTTTTTTTTTTTTTTGCCTACCGGATAATAACATTTGCATGGATTTAACTTCCTTAGAACTACAGTTCTATGATCTCAATGGTATTTAAGCTGTAGATTACAACCGGCATGATAAAGGATCACAAGTATATCTTTTCTGTCAGCTTGTTCCATTCAGAACCTCTAACCACAGCTCATTGATGTAACAGACCATTACAGCCCATTGTGTCAGTTCATCTGGTGGGATCTGTGCACTATAAGCATGACAGATTTCCTCTGCAGCAATTACAGTCTATTGTGACAATAGGATTTAATGAATATAAACAACAAACCACATAATCTGTTATTACAGAACACAGCTATGTACCCAGATGGGAATTAAATTCCTAGACATTGCCAGTTGCAGTGTTTAAAATTGTGACTATATCAATCTTTGTGTTATTAGATGCAATGCTCTAATTTCCAGCATACATTTATCTCAAGCCTAGCAGGTGAAAGGTCTTCAGAATTTAAAGCCTAACTGTGAAAGTGTGCTGTGATTTCATTTTTTCTGAGTTAACATTATCTTTTAGGTTTTCAGATGTTCACTCCCTGTCTTTCACTGTGACAGTATCATGCTGTTAAAGTTTCAGTACCAGCAATGAAGATGAAACAAGTAAATACAATAAAATCGGCTGCAGAAATTAATGAAACATACCAGAACATTACCAAAGAACAGACACTTCTGCTTAATCATAGTCTTTATAAATGATGGGCAAAGTGCTGTGCCAATGCAAATCCGTAAAATCACAGTGTTTGAAATTTTGCTGATTGATGCAGCTGAAATTCTAGAGGGATTTGATATATACTTGTGAAATTCAAACTCTTTTTCAAAGTGCATAAATGCTCCCCTACTCTCAAGGTGTGCAATCTACAAAAGTTAACATTTTCCGTGGGCTCATTTTAAAAATCTGGCCTGATTACAGAGATTTTCAGCTTTCAAATGTGAGCTCTGGACTTGAGTACCTCAGAATTACAATTACAGTGTTGGCACAGCTGTATTTTCATCCATGTAGATGGGCACTACTGGAATATACACATGTTCTTTTTGTTTAAGTAATTGAAAACGAAAGAGTAAATTACTGAGGACTACACGTGGGTGAGCTGCCTAAATGCCATTGTGAATCACCACAGCCATGATCATGTACTTTTGAGAAGAAATCCCCAGTTAAACACACTTCCACATAGTTGTACCAAAAGGGGAAAAGACTCTTACCCTTACCTAGCATGCGAACACATTTGGCATTCTGGTCAGGACTATCGAATGAGATTTCTCCGCACCTCTGAAAAACAAACCCAAGAAGCACATATTTAGTTAAAGACTCGATGATTGATAGTACCCCTGTCCTTGTCCTCTAGTACCTCTGTTTATGTCTGGCATTAGAGATTTCTGAGGGACACTGTTAAAAATAGCAAAATCAAAATATTTTCAAGTAGCCAAAGTCTGAGGAAGAATGGGCACTGCCAATATGCAAGGATGGGTCAGCACTGTATTCCAGGGTATTCAACAAGGAAAACTCCAGGTAACACCTCTCACCTTTGTATCTATGGCTTAAGCTACTCCTTCCCTCATCCAGTTACTCTTCATTAGCATCAGATCTAATTATACAGGAGGCCTCATTTACCACTGGCAGCCATTAAGGTATACTGAGTCAGTTGTCACACTGCTGCACCCTAAACAGGATCTGTGAAATGGCCCAGTTAAAAACAAAACAGCCAAGCTGGTGTAATCATTTGTATTTCTGTAAAACAAACTTATTTAAAAAAACACACCAAACTGTTAAGATATTTATTACTGAAAGCTGTCAACTCACAATGTTTGAACTCTCTGTAACACCTATGAGTATAATTGTTTTGTTGTAAAGTGCAGGCAAATTACATCTGTATGCTAACACGTTTGGTTAAGAAAAACAATATTCACGTGTACACACACATTATCAGGGCTGATATTCTGTCCCTATACAAACCCAGTAAAGGAACATCATTAGAATTAGGATCAGAATACAAAAATGAAAAAATGTTGGGTTGTTTTCAAAGAGAAGACATCAATTTTCAGCCCTTTATGCAGACAGGCATGTCAGTTTAGCTGCCAGGAGGAACGTAATTGGTGTGGCTCATGGGTCTGATCCAACTCCAATTACAGCCAGTGCACAGATCCTTCAGGTGCTACAAAAATTATGCCATTTTGTATTGCTACTCTTAGTGTTCGTGATAGGGGCTTAAGGACAGTCTCATATTTTATAGGTGAAAGTGGTCTGTACTTCTTTATCTGCATATTTATGCTTTTGGTATCTATGACCAAATGGGAATAAAAGCACACTGGTTCAAGTTTGGAAAAACAGATCTATTCATTTCCCTTCCTCTTTCTTTCTCTCTCACACAGTTGCCTTTTTTCAACACCTTTTTCTCCTCTATGTAAGACAAAGTCGTTCATACTGTCTCTTCCTTTTTTTGTTGTTGTTCTGTTAATAAAAGTGACAATTACAGCAAATATTAAAGTTTACAAAGAATCAGGTAAGTAAAAAACCCCAGAGCTTCAAAGAAGATGAAACAGATGAAACAGTTTAATAAATGAACAACACATTTGGAACTTATTAGTTTTAAAACAGCCTTCATCTCCCTCACACTGAAATAAACACAAATAAACAAACAAAAGCCCATCTCCCACACAGAGTCTCTTCATATATCAGTACATCTAAAAAGAGCAAACAGATGCTTGTATTAACCATCCTAGGTGGGAGCACATACTACTGAAAGACTGCAAAAGAAAAACAACACCCAGCATTTCAAAGCTATTGTTATGAATGCTCTTATAGGAGCTCCCTGACAGAAGACAAAGATATTTGCTATTTATTCTCCTAGGTAGAATGTTAAGATCTGTGCATCTTTGCACAGAAATGTCTCAGCTTCATCTTCATGACCGCAAGTACACTTAGACAAACACAGATTGAAGAAAGCACATCAAAATTTGCTGTCTGCCTCACCCTTGAATTTAAGCTGCTCTTTGAAAACTCTTGGCTATTTTTTATTTAGTCTCTCAGAGGTATTGTATGTTCCAGACATACTTATATAAACATCACATTTCAGGCTGGCACACTATGTCGTACAATATCTAGCAATACTCACCAGTCCTACTGTTAGGAAATTGGGAAAATGGCTAATGTTCCCCAGAGTGCCCTAACTTCCCACTGGATACATTATGGTGACTGATGAACTTTGAAACTTTGCAAGACTCAGAAAACTGTATACAAGTTCATGGGCTTATCTGAATCCTCTTAACCCCTGAAGCCCACGGAATGCAACGAGAACCAAGCTACAACATTCAGCCTGGGAGATTTTTCACTGCTACCACTGGAGCTGGAAATAGCAAGAGATAAAGCTTCAGCAGCAGTTTAATTTCTGAAGCCAGTAAAAGTTCATAGGTACACACTAATGAGATGAAAAATAAACTGTTACCAAACTGCTCAGAGTATTTAAAAAAGGCTAAGTTGGATCCAGGATGTGTAAAGTGGCACGGAAATACAGCAGGCACTAATTTTTTCTCATCAAAAAAATAGAGTTGTTTGGGCATTTTTGCTGTTAGCAGATATTTTCCATGAACAAGAAGAAAGGAATGACTTCAGGATTTAATACTTAGGATTACACTGAGGCTTTGCCGCCACTGCTGTGAATTCAGGCCAGGCTTGGATAAAGTTCTCCTGTCCTTTTCTTGGCCCAACTTACTTCCCTTTCTGGTTTGGGTTTGTTCCACCTGCTTGTATATTGCGGCTGGTACTGAGAGATGAGGCCAAGAGTCAGTAGTGGATCCACCAGAAAGCAGGAACAGGAATGTGACATTTGATGCTGGTTACTCTACTTCTAAATTTCAATCAGTCAGAAAGGAGAGAGAGGAGGAAGAATAACCTGGACATAGGCAGACCCACTGCACACCTTCAGATCACCATGTATGACTGTTGAAGAAGCTGAGAGACAAATATGACATCTGTTTTAAAGACTGGCTAAACAGCCTCTAGAAGCTGCTGCTTATAAGCAGTCCTGGCTGCATTCATAGGAGTCAGGTCAGGAAGAAGATACCAGTTTTCTGTTCCCATTTCAAAGAAGAAAGAGT